GGTTTCGATCGCGGTACTTTGGAATTACGAGTCTGACGCGCAATGCCTAAGCCACGGACGCCGCAAGAGTGGCCATACATATATAGGTTAGTTGCGTATCCTTTACAGGACGTTGCAGAACCAACCCCAACAGCCCCTGGCTGTTGTGTGGTTTTCTAGGCAAATTTACGACCAGTAGTTTGCCATTTCTGGTGGACGGTCGGCTTTCTTGATACCACTGTCGAAACCAACGCATAGCGCATGGCCCGCAGCTGTGATCGAACCCGGCATCCCGGCATTACGAAGCGTTAGCATCGACTTAGCCACAGAGCCGACAGAACATACATAGTCAGTGAATTCAATCTATCACTAGTGCCCCGGGGGGGGGGGGGGCGATGGGGGATGGGGGGGGGAAACGATGGGGGGGGGGAACGATGGGGGGGCTGGGGGACGATGGGGGGGGGGGGGGAGACGATGGGGATGGGGGGGGGGGTGTTGCGAGCACAACTTTCTGAATGCCCCTTGTAGAAAGTAAACGTTAGAAAGTAAATGTTTTATCGACCAGGGCGAGAAAACTAGCTAGACTGAGAGCTCCACACGAGTGACAGAACCAGCGGGCGACACCAAACAACCAACGACCAGGTGTTGAAGAGAGCGCGATGTCTGTTTCCTGGCCTCTCGGTCAAGATTCCATGACGCGCCCGTGGTGCCAGGATCCCTGTACATATTTAGTGATCACTCCATCACCCGCTCTGTCGCGCCCATGGCGTTTCTGGTCACTTCTTCTTTTTCCTGGCTGAAGTTCTAACGGTCGCACATCGAGTGGTGGACAGCTTCTCAGAGTTCTTCTAAAATTCTAATGGGACATGTTGAAATCTGTGTTCCTGGTTACAGGGAAGCTGTGTCGGTGTTAGTTTTCAGCCGGGAATTATTTTAATTCACTTATTCACCGCCACAGGTGGTTGTTTGTTGGCTTTAAGTAATCATTTGCTTACAGGTGAGTAACAAGTGTTATTGATTGATTACAGGTTAGTGATAAACGTTAATATATCTCTAGGGTATTAGGCTGCAGACTGTTGTTGTAAAGATAGGTTAGGCCAGAAGGTGAGAATGTGAAACAGAGACACTCCTGAGAGAGAAGGAGAGAAAGAGAGAGAAAGAAAGAGAAAGAGAGAAAGACGGTGACTCAAAACTTAAACACACACACACACACACACACACACACACACACACACACCACAGAGAATATAACGGTAAACCAAACTTAGGTACTGTTTTGTAAAAGGATGACAAATTGATCAGTTTTCGAGAGAGAGAACGAACGAACGAACAAACGAACGAAGGAACGAACCTAATTTTTAGAGGGTCACAAATTGGGCACGCAGGCCGATTTTACATTGGGCCCTTCTAAACACCCGTCTTTCACACTGCAGATTTTATAAATAAGCAGGTTGGAGAGAGAGAGAGAGAGAGAGAGAGAGAGAGAGAGAGAGAGAGAGAGAGAGAGAGAGAGAGAGAGAGAGAGAGAGAGAGAGAGAGAGAGAGATTTTCGCCGAAAGCACTAACTTTGTTTTCAATCGGCCAAGAAATGGTCACGTCTGGCCGTCTAATATTCGGCCATTACATAAATCTCCTTTCATACTTTACTATTAATGCGACACTAATGTGGTTCCATTTAAATCCATAAGTTATAACTTTTGTAAGTTGTACCTCACACTTTAAACAATATCTCTAAAATTCCTGTAAGGATTGACACGAGTTATCGCACATGGCCTAGGATTGCCCATGTCCTTTTGCTTGTATAGTTAACAGTTGCACAGGCGTTGCTGCTTTCGCAAAGCAGCGAATTTCATTGATCTTTGTTTGACTAATAATTTCTGTACCATTAACATAAAAGATACAGTAACTGCCACATGAATAGAGAATGTTTAGATATCATTTCACATGTGCAGCGATGCATGGTGATTATTTTATAGCCTATCCCGCATACAATAAAAAATTTAAGAAATGGAAATATAATAGATTTTGAAAACTTGGGCTTTTTAGTGAATAACAGTGGCGACTGCTCGAAAGAAGTCAGAAGAAGACTTGCATTAGCAAGGAGGAGATACAACACGAAGAGCCTATGGTAAAGCGCTGATAAATTGGTTAAAGTAAAAATATTGAGATCATGCATTTTTCCTGTGGCAACTTACGGTTGTGAGTCGTGGACTCTCAGTCACCGAGGAAAAAGATTAGAGCTTTTGAACTGAAATGTTACAGAACAATTGTTAGAATACCACCGATCAAGAAGAGAAAAAACATAGATATTCTGAACGAGTTGAACGTCGGGGATAACTGACTCATAAACAGCATCCTGTCCTAAAAGTTTTTTGGCCACATCAAGCATCATGGTGGCTTGGAAAAGATAGCGATGGAGGGTACAGCTTGTAGAAGGCGAGGCAGGGGTCGACCACCGCAGAGATGGATGTAGGACATTGACGATGCCTTGGCTTTGAAAGCACATGGTGGCTGGAAAGCT